CTGCTGCTGCTGCTGCTGCTGCTGCTCTGCATCGTGTGCGGGGCGCGCTCCATCGGTTGGCCGCCGCGATAGGCTGTGTGCATTCAGAGAGGGTAGTGTTGGCCGGCGTGCGCACGCACCTCGTCAGCCGCCGTTTCGGCAAGCTGACCGGGAGCTATCCTATCTCGCGCTCAGCCTTTCATAGCCGGCGAGTGACTCGCGCTGCCCCAGACCGTATCAGCGAGCAGGTGGTTATATAACAAAGGCCCCCCGCATCGGCCATCTCGCTATCTCCATCACCACTACTTGCCTCTCTGTGATCTGCATTCGACCTACCTTTCGCCACCTCTACACCACAACCAAGCTAGACCGCAAAGACCGGGCAACATGGGTTCGGCTGCTTCCAAGCCCGTCGCCGCCAAGTCGGCAGAGACTCCCAACGAGAAGGCGGGCTACACGGTGTCGCTCGACTCGTCGCGCGCATCGGCGCACTCGTCGAGCATCGTGAACCACCATGCTGCGGACCGTCTGGCGCGCATCCAGGCCGAGACGCTCGCTCGCTACACCACCTCGGCCGCGCCTGCTGCCTCGACGGAGGCACGCGCGGGCATCTCGCTTGCGGCGCTGTCCGAGTGGCAGGACGCGGCGCTCACCACGCAGGCGGCCCGACTCGCCCAGATGACGCTGCACAACGCACCCATCGCAGCGAGCCTGCACCGTCGCGAGACCGAGGTGTCGTGCGCACACGTCTTTTCGCACGCCATTCCGTACGAGGTGAAACCGGTGGTGAACCAGAAGAGCTCCGGACGCTGCTGGCTCTTTGCCACGTGCAACGTGATCCGCCACCAGGCAGCCAAAGTGCTCGAGCTCGACGAGTTTGAGCTGAGCCAGAGCTACCTCAGCTTCTGGGACAAGCTGGAGAAGGCCAACTACTTTTTGGAAAACATGATCGAGCTTGCCGACGAGCCGCTCGACCAGCGCGTCGTCGGCTTCCTCAAGACCGCGCCCACCAACGACGGCGGGCAGTGGGACATGGTGGCGAACCTGCTGGAAAAGTACGGCGTGGTGCCCAAGGCGGTGTATCCGGAGAGCTACAACTCGTCCTTCTCTTCGCAGATCAACTGGCTCGTCACGCTCAAGCTGCGCGAGTACACGCTCGAGCTGCGCGAGATCAAGCGCGACGTGCAGCGCAAGCTGTCGGCCACGTCGGTGGGTGCCAGCCAGGTGGCGCGTGCCGTGGCGGATGCGCAGCGCAGGAGGAAGGAGGAGCAGATGGCCGAGGTGTATCGCATGCTGGTCATTGCGCTCGGTACGCCGCCGCAGCCGGACGCCGAGTTTACCTACAACTACCGCAACCGCGCCGGCAAGTTTGTGAGCCTCACCTCGACGCCGCGCCGCTTCCTGGCCGAGTACACGGGCAGCTTTGACCACAAGCAGCGCTGCTCGCTCATCCACGACCCGCGCCACCCAGCGGACAAGCTGATCACCGTCGAGCGGCTCGGCAACGTCTGGGAGGGCACACCCATCAGCTACGTCAACACCACCGTCGACGTCATGCGCGACGCCGTGGTGCGCAGCATCAAAGCCGGCCACCCCGTCTTCTTCGGCTGCGACGTGGGCCAGTTCTCGGACAAGACGTCTGGCATCATGGACCCGGCGTTGTTCGGATACGCCGATGCATTCAACATCTCGCTCGGTTTGACCAAGGCACAGCGCATCGAGTTGGGCGAGAGCTCCATGACGCACGCCATGGTCATCACTGCCGTCCACATCAACAAGGACGGCAAGGTGGAGCGCTACCGCGTCGAAAACTCGTGGGGCGAAGCGGGCGTTGGCAACGATAAGGGCTTCATGGTCATGAGCGACCAGTGGTTCGAGCAGTTCAACTACCAGGTCGTCGTCAGCCGCAAGTTTGTCCCAACGCATCTCTGGACGCTCTTCACCAACGGCGTGGATGCCGACACGATTCGTCTGCCCCCCTACGATCCGCTCGGTGCACTTGCCTAGATCCCACACACGCACCCCATCTTGTACGATAATGACTGGAATTCTTTTGGCACTGCGCCTGTGTTGGAAGAGACTCAGAGCGCAGGAGGAGGAGGCTGCCACCTGCGCAGCCCGTAGTTGGCGCGGATCACTACCAGGTCCAGTGCCATGCGCACCGAGTCGGTGAGCAGCGCGATTTTGGAGCCGCCCACTTCGTGCCAGTGCACTGCCACCTCGGCGATCGGCAGTGCCAGACCCTCCAACCCCTTGCACTCGCCTTGGCCTTGGCCTTGCCGGCTTGGCATGCAAGGCGGTTTGGACTGCATGGCGAGGTTCGAGGCGGCCTGGGCGAGCAGAATGAGTTCCACATCAAAGATCCATCCGTCGATATGCGAGGCTGGAAACACCAGCTTGGCCGTTGGGCGCGTGAACAGCTTGAACCCGCACTGGGTGTCTTTGATCTCGGGCTGGACAGGTAACCTTTGCCTTTGCTCGCCCCTTGCACATCCATCTTTGGGGCGAAGGAAGCCAGGGATGAGCGAGGCCGGGGTGGGTGGACGCAGGAGGAGGGTGAGGAGGAGGTGGAACGAGTGCATGAGCAGATTGCGTAGCCAGGAGCGCTTGACCACTGCGTCGGATTTGACCATGTGCGCGCGGCTGCCCACCACCATGGCGTGTCCGCGCGGGGTGAGGATGTGTGCGAGCGCGCGCGATAGCGTCGAAACGTCGCCGAACCTCGTCGCACCGTCAGCGTCGGCGAAGAGCACCAGCGAGCCGCGGGAGTGCAGCACGCCATGGCGAACCGCTCCACCCTTGCCGCGGTTCTTGACCAGCCGAACCACGCGCACCTCGACGCCGTGCTCGCGTCCAAACTCGAGCGCTACCTCGTGCGTCCCATCCTGACTGCCATCATCCACCAGCACGATCTCGTACGTCTCCAGAGGTTCGTACAGTGCCTTTCGTACCGCTTGGGCGTCCTTATGCTCCTCCCCGGCACTTGCTGCGACGTTGGCGTCTGCCTCGTCCGAACCCACCAGACTGCGCTTTTCGCGGCGGAGGGATTCGAGAAACTCGACCGTCTCGCGCAGCATGATGGGTAGTCGTTCGCGCTCGTTGTACGCCGGAACAACTACACTCAACTGCACCTCCTCTGCATCGTCCAGCAGCGAGGGCAGAGGCTGTGGCGCTGCAGACGCAGGCGAGACGTACGACAGCTCCGACCGCGAGCTCGTCTTGGTCACCGGCGTCAACCACACCACCGCCAGGTAGAGCGTCGATGCTGCAGCAGCGAGCAGGGTGACGAGCCCGAGCGCAACGTGCGGATAGTAGTGGTACAGCGCAATAGGCAGCGCCGATACAAACCCCCATATCGTGCCGTCCAGCAGCGACGTCGGGCCGGCCCCACCGGCCACGGCCGCTCCTGCACAACACGCTGCTCCCATTTCGCCCCGCAGAGTCGTGTCGATAGCTTCGGACCAGCAAGATCGACGAGAGATGGTGGAGAAGCTGTGGGTCGCAAGTTGGCAAGTTGTGGGTGAATGCCAAGCAGAATCTGTCTCGGATCGAGGCGGCCAGGTGTTGGATGTGCGCACGGGCTGTGCGCGTCGACGTGTCAGTTTGAGGCGCTGCTGCTGCCCCACCCCGCCAAGCAGATCGCCCAACGCACAGCTGCAAATTGCCCGTCCCTCCTGCCGAAATGAAGCCCAAAAATGCCGGAAATAATAAAATAGCATAAAAGCACACTCACCTCATCGTCCCTCGTCACCGCTCAACCTCCCCATCCAGTTGTACGCACAGTGTCGATGATCGATGTCTGACCACACAGCTACGATGAGATAGTACCGTGTTCAATTGGAGTCATGCCGATGAAGAGTATCGTTCCGGCGCCGCGGCCTAGATACTGTTGCGGCGGGCGCTGATGCCCGCCTTGCGGCGCGTGCGTCTGCGCTTGGTGCGCCTCCTCACGCCGCCGGGCCCCACCTCGTCCTCGTACTCGTCCCACTCCTCCTCCTCGTCGTCGTAGAGCTCGTCACGCTCCATGCTCGATGGCAGCTTGCCCTCGGCGTCCCATCCATCGAGCATGTCGACCGCAGCACGGTAGCCCTTTTCGTAGATCTGGTCGAACCTGCCAAATGCCAGCGTGCCGTACTCCTCGACGGGCATGCGCATGTAGAAGCAGCCGTTCACCTTCTTGGCCTCCTCAAGCGTCTTGACCGACGACACGTACGTCAGTCGACCCTGGATGTCCGGGATCGACGGGATCTTGCCCGCGTCCGACCACGGATTCCACCGATTCAGCAGCACCCACCATCCGGACAGCGTGTCGCCGTAGGAGCGCGCGCTCGTGTCGTCGATCGAACCCACATCGACCGCAAACACCGACCGCGCACCCATGGCCAGCATCACAGTCACCGGCAGATTGTCCACATACCCGCCGTCCACCAGCATGTTGCCCTCGTCCACCAGCGGCGGGATGAGCCCGGCGAGCGTCATGGAGCCGCGGATGTAGCGCCACGCATACCCGCTCGTATGCACCTCCATGCGCGACCAGGTGATGTTGGTGGTGTTGCAGAAAAACGGAATCCACATGTCCTCGATGTGCGTCTCCTGAATCGCCTTGAACACGCCGCGGTTGAACTCGTGGCCCGTCGTGTACGACACCACGGGATACGTCAGGTCCGACGCAAACCGCCACAGCGACGCCATCCGACCCGCGAACCGCTTGGCTCGTCCGAACGTCGACACCATCTCGGCCTCGCGCGCGTACAGTCCGCCCACGAGCGATCCGATCGACGTACCGCCCACCATGTCGATCGGGATGCTGCGCTCCTCCAGCGCGCGGATCACGCCCAGATGCGCACACCCGCGCGCACCACCTCCGCCCAGCACCAGCCCGATGCTCTTGCCACACAACCTGCGCGCCAAGCGCGCAAAGTCGGACGCGTGGTGCGGCCGTCCGGACGCAGAGAGCGGCGTCTTGGTCTTGCGGTACCGCTGCAGCGACGTCTCGAGCTTCTGTTTGAGATTGCGCAGCGCCTTGACCGCCTTGGGATCGCCGCCCGTCGCCATGGCGGCAGCGCTCTGCGAGCCGGCGAGCCCCGCCATCTCGACGTGGTGGTGCGCATGCACCCACGGCCGGTTCTTGAGCCACTCGCGCGTCGAGCCCGGCGGCACGCTGCGCTCCGGATGCAGCAGCACCAGCTCCTTGCGCGCCGTCGTCTTGACGCTCAGCAGCAGCCGCTCGTACTCGCCCATCGCCGGCTCGTCGCCATACCCGACCATGAGCACGCAGTCCGCCTGCCGGATCGACGTCTGCGACCACGCCGACGACACCGGCGTGTCCACCACGTACACCACCATCCGGTACTTTTGCTCCAGATCTGCCAGCCATCCCGCCAGCTTGAGCTTGCCCATCCGGCTGAACGCATGCCGGCCCAGCACACCCATCACGCTGCTCTGGTCCAGAAAGATCGCGCGCCCGCCAATCGTGTCGTCAAACGCCGCCTGCAGCTTCGCCGCAAAGTCCATCACCGGCACCTGTCGCGTCACGGGCACAATCGCCACCGTCTTGAGGTTGAGATTGTTGCGGCCCAGATCGGGCAGGCCGGGGATGGGCGCGCCGAGCGCCGCACCCTCCTGCTTGCTGCGCACCAGCTCGGCGCGCACGCGGCGCGCGATGATGCGCGAGATCTGGATCGTGATGGCCGGATGACGCACCGAGATGGCATTGAACAGCGTCGACGGCATCCTCGCCAGCTCCGAGTCACGGATCGCATGCAGCGTCGTGCGCCGGCGCGAGTTGGTGATCACGTCGAGCTCGCCCACGCTGTCGCCCTGGCCGTACTCGTTGTGCACCTCGATCCCGTTGCTCTTCTCGGTGATTGCACGCAGTCGGCCGTTGATCACGATGAAGAAGCTGTCCGACGGATCGTCCTCGCGATAGATCACCTGGCCCGCATTCACCTGCTGCCAGTCGAGCGACGAGTCGATGTGCAGGATCAGCGGCGGCAGCAGGCTCAGCAGCCGCTTGCACAGCGTCAGCAGCACAATCGGCCGGCGCTCCATGATGCGCTCCAGCGCATGCGCCGGCAGGAAACCCACGTACACGTCCGTCTTGGCCGCAATATCGACGTAGCTCGCTGTGCCCAACAAGCTCGAGAGGTAGCCCGCAATGCCACCCCGGCCTACGGAAAAGATGGAACGCTTGCCGTCCTTGGTGCGCTGCCCGTTTTGCTGCTGCGCATTGTGGCCGGGCGCCTGCTGCAGCGGAGGCCGAGAAGAGCCGGAGATGTCGGCGTACGCTTTCGTCTGCGTGCGCACGCCGGTCGCAGTCGCAGTTGCTGCCGGCTGCGGCTTGCGCGAGCTGGCGTTGGCACCTCCGCCAGTCCCGTCAAGTGCGTTGCCGACTTTCGTCGAATCGGTCGGGCGTCGTCGCATGCCGCCCATCGTACCGTACGACGAAGATGACGAAGAGCCTTCCCGACCGGGAGGACGATGCAGCGAAGAAGTGGCGGATTCGCCGACGCCACTCGCGCGATCTGCGTCGGTGCCCCTGCGCGAGCGCTGAGGCGTGACATCCCACGAAGCAGCATCGTCATTCTGTCCAGTGCGCAGCGACGAGGTGGAGGGAGCTTTGCGGTGCGCATCGGCCTTTGCAGAGCTCTTGCTACCGCAACCGCTTCGGCCCGGGCGACCAGGCTTGCCCTTTGGAGCCTTGCGGTCGTCCTCGTCGAGCTCGTTGGCATCGGCGGGAAGCAGCACGTCCAAGAAGCCATCGATGACGTAGAAGAGTCCGGCGCGGCTCTCGCCTGCTTTCACCAACGTGCTGCCGGCGGGGAAGAACTTGATCTCGACCTCGTTCTCAAAATCGGACGGATGGAATCCGGACTGGCCGTGGCCGGCCATGGAGCTATTTGTACCCGTGATGCTCGACTCTTCCTCTGCCATGGCTGCGTCGAGCATGCTGAGCGAGCTGAAGGCCGACTTGAACACGGAGCGTTGCAGCAGCGCGTCCTGCGCACTGATGTGCGGGCTTGCCTGGTAGCTGGCCGCGATGGGAGAGACGGCGGCCTGGGCAAGGCCGATACTCTTGGCGATGCAGTCCATGACCTCGCTCTTGATGTCAAAGTGCGACAGACCGATGGAGGAGAATGGATGATCCCCCTCGCCATCGTCTGCGTTGTGCGAGTTGCCATAGTTGCCGGAACGTGAAGAGCCGGAGCGGGGACTGGTGCCGCTGTGCGAGTCGTCCATAGGATGCGGCAGCGGGCCGTGGAACGGGTCGAGCTTGGAGACGGAGCGCGGCTTTGCGCGAGGCGTGGGCTGGGCAGAGTGGATGTCGAAGCCTCCGCCATACCAGCCATCCGAACTGAGGCTGGCCATGCTGAGCAGATCGCCCGGCCCGACCGTGGTTCGGGCCAGAGGTGTCTTGAGGGCCGGATCGGGATGGCCCCAGGGAGTCTTGGCCGTCGAGATGCGCGGAGGCGCAGCCTTCCTGTTCTGCTGCTTGGGGCTGGTGTCCGAGCCTGCTGGTTCTGCAATCCTGACCTTGGGCACGCTAGTGTCATCAGCAGAGCGGCGTTCGCCTGGCACGGGCGTGCTGCTGCGCTGTGCGCCCGAGGTCCAGTCCTGAAAGTTGCGGAAGTAGTCGTCGTCGTTGTGGACGGACGAAGACTCGCGATGCGAGGTAGGCTGAGGGAGGAAGCGTTGGCGCAGCCTGTCCATGCCGCCCTTTTCGTAAAACTCGGAAGGAAGCGGGAAGCATGCGAGATCGTTGATCGACTTTTCTGTACGCATGACCTCCTTGGTCAGCCCGAGGTACTTGTGCGCCGTGTGGAAGGTGACGCGCGAGAGGCGAGCGAGGATGACCTGTACGATGTGCGCCGCCGCGTTGGGGAACTTTTTGGTGAGGCGCTTGAATGCCTCTGCAGGGATGACGGCGAGGGTGGTGTCGACGGTGGCTCGCGCGACCGTGCCTGCGCCTTGGTGGTGGAAGGCTTCGGCGCCGCGGCCCAGGTGGCCGTGTGCGCTGCTCATGGCGCTGAGGATAGAGCCAGGAGTGTGAGGGCCGATATGAGGATCTTGCATGCCCTGGACCGATGCAGCGCGTCCGCGGAAGTAGGGAGACTGGGAAGAGTTTGGCAGATTTGACAGTGGAGTGCCCGCAGGCGAAGCGGTGTAGCCAGGCGCGAAATGAGAAAAGGGCGCGGCGGCCTGGGCAGGTGGCATCTGAAGGTCTGGAGCATGCCCAAGGGAGTTTGTTCCGCTGTCGTCATGGTGCTCTGCGGCGTCCATGACGGTGCTGTTGTCGCCGTCCTGGACGGTGACGGAGCCCGTGCCGGATGACCCAGTTCTTGCGTGAGTCGGCCTGGTACCAGCACGCGCCGCAGATACACCAAGACGCTCGACAGCTCCCTCGGTGGACAGGGCGTTGGGGACATTG